CAGTCAGAAGCGTGGGAGGGTGGGAGAATTCACCAGAGCCAGAGTGGGGAATGGAACAGGCAGACTGATGAAATACACTGCTGAGGGGAGCAGCCAGTGTGGCAGGAGAGGTCTGTGCGCCATGCGGGGCCCTCACCGGTGGCTGGGGATGGAACCGGTGCTGCAGAGGCTGCGGGCAGCTTCACAATCCAGTGCTCAACCGCTACACTGCACCACCTGGGAGGCCCTGTAAGTCATTTCTGCCACAATCCAAAGTACCATGTCCCAAGGAAACTAATTTGTATGAAGTGAGACTATTTTTTCTTTTAAGGATACATCTTTACTTGAAGGAATGGATGACAAAAAATAAAACACTGTTATGTACATCTGGTGAACTTGTACGCACTTTCTAGGAAATGAACATGCCAGTCCCTTTAAGAAAATCTACTGGGTCTGCCCCCCTCCCAGGTGGCGCAGAGGTTGAGCGCTGGGCTGCAGGGCTGCCCATGGCCTCTGAAATGCCTGTTCTTCGATCCCCCTGATCCCAGCTGCCAGGCAAGGGTTCCACATGGCGCACAGACCTCTCCTGCCCCCAGCTGCTCCCCTCAGCAGTGTATTCTGTCACTCTGCCTGTTCTGCTCCCCTCTCTGGCTCTGGTGAGTTCTCTCACCCTCCCGTACTTCTGACTGTGCCCAGTGCTTGTATAAATAAATTAAATATTTAAAAAAAAAAAGAAAGAAAAAAGAAAATCTGCTAACAGTTGGCCACTAAGAGTAATTAATTGTCTTATAACATGCAAACTCTGGGGGGAAAACAGATAATGGAAAATTACTATAAACTTGACAACTCCCACTAACTTTTCTTTTGGAATCTTTGAAACATAAAACAAGCATGATTTTTAAAGTTTGATTCTAGAAAAATTAACACTAGTGATCATATATAACCTAGTGAAACAATGCATTATTTTTAAAAATCATATCTTATTGAAGATCCATTAATATGTAAGAGAGGCCTATGGAATTAATGTAACAGAATAGAAAATATTCAATGATAGTATTTCAGATTTTACATTGCAAATAACATTTGAATAACTACTGCAGGAATAGTTTCCATTTTTTATAAAAGTGGTAATGTAACCAGTGGTTGAAGACAAACACTGTTACAGATGTTGCCCCCTGAAGTGGGGTTGCTGGTGAGGAAGGATAGCGCTGGGGAAAATGGGAACAAAGTATCACATTTGGGGAGGAGACTCTGATAAGCAATATAAGGGACTGCAGCGGCAGCCCCCAGCATTCAGCATTTGGATTCTGCATTTTCACATCTTCAGCGATTCTGTGCCTGGCAGAGAAGGCAAAGTCCTGAAGCAGGCGCCTCACGGAACTGTGAGGGTCATTGGCCGCTGCAGCTGCAGCTGCTGTTTTGAGTCTCTTGTCTGGTGCCACTTTGGGGCATCTCAGCAGCTCCAGGGAGCATCTCCTGTTGCCTTCTAGAGTTGGAACCTGGCCTATATATAGTCTGCCTGCCAGCTCCAGGTCGACAGTGGCGGGAAGAGGCCACTGTTGCAGTGTTTGTGTTTAGGACTTTAAAACACTGGATACTGCTTCAGGTGAGACAAATGGTCATTTTTGGCCTTAGTAACTCTGTTTTTCCCTGGTTTGTTAAATAAGTCCCATCATTGTTCTCTGAACCTGAGTAGTCTTGCAATTGTGCTCATGGGTGAAGAACTCAGTGACTGATAATCTATTTGGGCTGGGCCTCCCCTGGTGGCAAAGCGGTTGTGCGCTGGGGTGCGAGGCCTTAGCAGAGTGGGTTCAATCCCTGGCTGATGGTGAGGGTCCTACATGGCGCCACAGACCTCTCCTGCCACACCCACTGCTCCCCTCAGCAGTGTATTTCGTCAGTCTGCCTGTTCTGTCCCTGCTCTGGCTCTGGTGAATTCTCTCACCCTCGGGTGCTTCTGACTGTACCCAGTGCTTGTATAAATAAATAAATAAATCTTAAAAAAAAAATTTTTTAAATCTATTTGGGCAGTGTCTTTGGCCACTTTTAGTGCCCCTTGCTACCCTCAATCAGTAACAAAGCTGAATGCTAACAATTATCTGAAAAGGGTATTAAAGTGCTATTCCTACATATTTCTGCGGGGCCAAATATTTTTTCATTGACCAATCAAAACAACAGACTAAATGCAAAAGAAAATATGGCAATCCATGTTCTTCTCATGAGACAGAAACACTTGCAAAAATATAAAATGTAAAATTTTACACTCTTTCATTAACCTGATTATTTTCAGATATAGCTATTTTTCTTTAAAACATTGTTAACCTGCAGTGGGTTAGTAATATTATTCTAAATGATGTAAAAATCTTTAAAATGTTTTTATTCCTTGTGTGGTAAATATTGATAGCTACAATATAACCTTATAAACTTATACTGGGGTCCTTGCTAATGTGTAGGAATACAGCCATCCTGAAATGAAAATGTTTGAGAATTGGTGTTTCAGTCCTGGGCCTGGACTCTGCAGCCCGTGTGACGGGGTGATGAAGCAGGAGAGGAGGGGCGGGCAGAGCGCCAGGGGTGTGGCTCTCGGGGTTTCCGAGCCCAGGGCTATGTCTGGGGCCAGAAGGTTACAGTTGGGGGTTCCCCATCTTTCTCTCATAGCCTGTGTGGGGTTCTCCTTCCGGACACTGGAGATTCAGCCCAGTTCTCACTCCCCATGGCCGGGAGGTTTCCAGAGCAGCCCAATCCGCGTCTCCGGGCTCCCACCAGCCCGCTAGTCTCAGAGTCCCCCCAGCCCCGGTAGATGCCGAGCACGAAGCCCCCACTCCTCCTGCTGCTGCTGCTCCTGGGGACCCTGATCCTGAAGGACACCTAGGCCGGTGAGTGGGGCGCTGGAGGGAAACCGTAGCTCTGGAGGTGGGGCAAGGAGATCCCGGACCGGGTCAGGGAAAGGCGCGATCAGCCGCCAGTAACCCTGTTGAGGTCCCTGGGCCCCTCCCTGTCCCTCTAACCCCCGCCTCTACTTTCCCCCAGATTCCCCGCCCTTCTCGTCCCGCCGCCCCTTAACTCTCTGGGGAGCCCCTTCGCCCCTCCCCTCCCGCCCCGTCTCCCCAGCCCGGGTCTCCCCTCCCGCCCCCAGGCTCCCACTCCCTGAGGACTTTCTACACCACAATGTCCCGGCCCGGCCCCGGGGAGCCCCGCTTCATCGCCGTGGGGTACGTGGACGACACGCAGTTCGGGCAGTTCGACAGCGACTCCCCGGGCCAGAGTGCGGAGCCGCGGGCGCCCCGGGGTGGGGGCGGGAGGGGCCGGAGCACTGGGAGCGGGCGACGCGGACCTTGAACTACAAGGCACAGTTGAGCCTTGGAAGCCTGCGCGGCTGCTACAACCAGAGCGCGGCCGGTGAGCGGGGCGGGCCCGGGGCGCTCACGACCCCACCCCAGACTCGGGGTCCGTCCTTGTGTCTCGCTAAGTCTGGTGGATCCGCCCAGACCCTTGACCCAGAAAGAGCCCGCGGGACTTTCTTTCCTGCGGTTTCAGGTTCGGTTTCGGTTTGGGGCGGGGCACCGGGGAAGGGGGGAAGCGGTGATCGTGGGGTGGGTCTCACACCCTCCAGAGGATGTCTGGCTGCGACGTGGGGCCCGACGGGCGCCTCCTCCGCGGGTACAGTCAGGTCGCCTACGATGGCTCCGATTACAGGGCCCTGAACGGGGACCTGCGCTCCTGGACCGCGGCGGACACGGCCGCTGAGATCACCCGGCGCGAGTGGGAGGCGGCCGGAGAGGCGGAGCGCCAGAGGAACTACCTGGAGGGAACGTGCGTGGAGTTGCTGCGCAGACACCTGGTGAATGGAAAGAAGCTGCAGTGCGCAGCAGCTAAGAGGGACTGCAGGCCTCCTACCTCCCCCCTGGCTCACTTGACTCCTGTCACAGAGCTGGTGGAGACCAGGTCTGGGGGGGGGAAGGAACCTTCCAGGAGTGGGCAGCTGTGGAGGTGCCTTCTGGAGAGGAGCAGAGATACACGTGCCGTGTGCAGCATGAGGGGCTGCTGGAGCCCCGAGTCCTGAGATGGGGACGTGGGCACAGAGGCTCTGCTCAGGATCCCTTCTGGAGAACTTCAAAGAGTCAGGTTGGAGAACTGGGTTCAGAGTCTCCCCTTCCTTTCCCTATGCACCTCCTCAGTGTTCTGTCCCCACCATTGGCATCATTGCTGGCCTGGTTGTCCTTGGAGCTGTGCTCACGGGAGCTGCAATGGCTGCAGCTGTGATGTGGAGGAAGAAGTTCAGGTGGGGAAGGGAGTGGGGGATCTTGTCCACTGGGGGCTTTCAAGTCCCGGGGAGAATTTTCCCTGCCTGGTTAGTGGAAAATACCATCCATGTATGTATGTGTTGCCCAGTGTGAAGCTGATTGCTATCCCTGCTCTCCTTTGTAAAACACTTAGGAAAGTAAATCACAAATTGTTCACCTTCATAATTTTGGTGATGGGACCTGACTCCCTGCGATTGTCAGACTCCTTTCTTCATATCTCCTGGTCCTGCTCTTGGTCTTCAGTCACAGTTCTGGAAACTCCCCTGTGGTCCAGGATTCAGGGCTTCCTTTAGGACTTCATGGCCTGACTCATCTCTGGTCTCACATGGAGTTTCTTCCCAAAGGTGAAAAGGAGGAAGCTACACTCAGTCTGCAGGTAAGTGTGGATCAGGGGTTTGGTCCCTGAGCCCCTGGGGACAGTGTAGATGGAGCCCCTGGGGGAGTCACCCACATCAATCCTCCTGTGGTCTCATCTCTGTGGCTCTAACCAGGTTCTGTTTTGTTCTCCCCCAGGCAGCAACAGTGCCCAGAACTCTGATGTCACAGCTGCTAAAGGTGAGACCCTGGAGGCCTGCAGTGGGAGGGACTGGGGCTGAGAAGATGGGACCAGGTTATGGGGAAGTTGTCAGGGGGACATGCTGAGGATGCGGTGGACTATAGAGAATGTCGACACTTACATGATTCCCTGACTTTGTTCCTGATTATTTTCCTTCACAGTGTGAGCCTTCTCACCCCCACTTTGTGACTTCAAGATCCCTCCGGTCTCTCTTGTTGCAGAGGGCATCCTCATGTATCTGGGGTCACATAAGCATAATGTGGGGAGGTAAGGAGATTGGCCTGGCCCTGCCCACCAGGCCCCTCCCGACACTCACCTGTGTCTCTCCCTGATGACTTTCCTGCTCCAGCAGAGGCGGCCGAGGCTTTCTCTACTCATCTTTGTGTTTTTCCTGAAGAATAACATCTACTTCCCTGATGAAATAATAATCCAGGTTTGAAATTATTTTTTTCTAATCTTGTCATGCTGGTTTGATGGGTAACCAAAAAAGGTTCTTAGTAAATCGGTTCTAGAATCCATGTTTACTGTGCTGAGTCTGTGCAGGTAGGGGCAGGAGAGACTGTGAGGAGCCGAGGGGGATGTGTCTAGTCAGTGCTCAGTGCATTGTGGGCTTTCTGTGGTCACTGTTCAAAACTGGTCATCTCTGTGCTCCTTTGTCCTTGTCCTTCAGTAGCACCTGTCCTAGCAGGACCTTTGATCACAGGGACTCAGACAAGACCTGGGCCTGTCCTGTCTCCAGGAACATGCATCGCCAGGTCAGCCTAAGCTCACATCAGGGCTGGGCCCTCAGTCTTCACAATTTGCATGTTTACACTTTGCTTCTTTGGTTTTTATTGCTTCATGCCTGTTCATTTTCATGTTTAGACACCAGGCGCCATGTCCTCCGGGTGTCCCTGTCTCTGACAGTGCCTAAGGCATCTGTCATTGTTCCCACAAAGCTCAGGGCAGCCCCTGCTCACAGTAGTGTTTGGTGTTAGAGACTAATTTTCAGACTCATTAGATTTTGGCCTCATTTCAGGACCGTTTTCTGGATTATTTCTGTTTTTTCCAGATCTTTTCCTTTAAAGATTTATTTATGCATACAAGAACTGGGGTGTAAGCCAGAGGTGCAGGGGAGTGAGAGGATTCACCAGAGACAAAGGGAGCAGAACAGGTAGATCTACTGAAACACACGGCTGAGGGGTGCAGCAGGCAAGGCAGGAGAGGTCTGCTGTGCCATGTGGGTCAGCTCCCTGGCCAGATTCTAGAACACTGTTCTGGCCAGATAGAACTCGTGCTTACAGTGGCTGTTGATAGCTTGATAGTGCTATCTTTAACTCCTGCTCCACCAGGGAGGCCCTCTTTTCTACATCTTTTTAAAAGACCAAATTCTGATATTAGTGGAGGATAAGATTAGATAGTTTCTCATCTTAGACAAGCTCATGTTGCATTTCTAGTTTTTTCTGTAGGTTCTCCCTCTAGCCCTGCCCTGAAGTGTAGCAACCCCACTGCTGCTTTGATCCAAACCCAGGGTTTGATAAAATAGCATCATAGGAACATTCACAGTGGCTGAAAAATGGTACCCATAAACTTAGGACCCCCTTTTCTGAAGTGATAAATGTGCTCTTGTGCTGGGGTGTGCAGGAGGGTTGATTGGGGAGGGTGCAGCACTTGGGACAGCAGCGGGAGGTGGGGGGCACTGCTGTCACTGTGAGTGGAGGTGTGTGTAGCATGTAACCTAAGGCCACGTTTTTAAAGACACTGTCTCTAGAACATGGAGGTGCTCTACACTGATCATTCATGAACTGATAATTGTTGTGTGTGGCATATGAGTGACAGGCTATTTTTGCATCTAGGAAAACTCAATGAACTAAAAATAGGCCCAACTTGCTGGCCTGGTGAGAATGTGTCCTAGTGGGAAGGGGACACTGGAGACTGTGACAGTAAATAAGGGACATGTCTGGCTACAAGTGGGAAAGGGGTGAAGGAAGATGACCCAGAGTCAGTGTGTGGGGACAGGATGGCTGTCTTCCCAGCATGGTCAGTGTGGGCCTCACTAAGGTGACCTTTGAGAAAAAGTTTGATGGACATGTTGCCCACAAGGATGTCCAGGGAAGTTCTGTCCAGGCAGGACAACCTTCAGTGCAGATGTATGAGGCAGGAATGAGCCTGTGTGGCTGAGATGAGCAAGGAGGCTGCCTGGCTGGCTGGAGCAGAGGGCTACTGAGATGAGTTCTGTGTGCACCCAGATCATTCAGGCCTTCAGGATGTTGAGAGGGCTTAACTTTCTGAGTAAAATGTGGGTTGACAAGACCTTTCTGAACAGAGATGTGGGACTTCTCTTTAGAAGACTGTCTGGCTGCTCTGCAGAATCCAAGGGTGAGAGGTGGAAAGATAAATGTGAGAAACCAGTGCAGGCTCCAGGACAGACAGGTTGGTGCCTTTGTTGGGGCAGGGGGAGGTGAGCAGGAAAACAATAGGAAGTGATTGGATCTCTGTATATTTAGAAATGGACTTTACAGTGTTTCCTACGGCTGGGTTGTAAGAAAGGGGTCAAAGATGACACCCAGTATTTCATAATATGCAGGCAGAGCTGGAGCCTGCAGTGACATGGGGAAGCCTCCAGAAGAGCCATATCTGAGGAAATGGCATCCTATTCAATTTAGGAAAGTTGAAGCTGAGATTTATGGAAATACAATGATGGTGGCAATTGGACAAACAAGTCTAGAGCACAGGTGAAATGTCTGAGCTGGAAATAGATCTGGGAGGTGATGTGATGTAAATAATACTTTAAGTCTTCAGTATGGAATGGTCCCCTAGAGAGTGATGACTAAAGAGAAAGGAGCAGAACCAAGCTCTGCCCCCCCCTCCCATGTTGGGCCATATAAGCAGAGGCTCGCAGAGCTGACTGTTAACATGTGAAGGCATGGAGACCAGGGAGCCCCCACTTCAGTGAGCTCAGGAGTGATGATCAGGAGCACCCAGATGCTCATAAAGACTCAAAGTCGAGAATAGAACCTAAGATTCTATTATTCAGCCCCTCCCCTCACCCTAGGGATGGTGAATTTAGAGTTGACTCCCAGGAGGAAGCACTTCATCCCTGGAGGCAGGAACAAGTAACAGCAACTCTGGAGTCCAATGTTCCAGCCAAAGAGATTAAGGGAAACTGTTGTGGGGACCCACCCAGAACCTGGGAGGCAGCTGTTACGACCTGGACACCTGGCTCTTCCCTGAGGCCTGTACACATACTCACTCACTTGGAAGTTTAAGGACCCCTAACATGACAGTGGACCTGTCCTGCCGCTGGGGGCCCAGGGAGCCTGGGGAGGGCCTGGCTGAGCAGGAGAAAGGGCAGCTCTGGGCTCCTGTGCTCAGCCCTGTGGCCACACGGGGGCGCTGCCGCGCTGTTCCGGATTCTGGTGGAGCCTCCAGGACGGGGCCGGGGCTGAGGTGGGCAGAGTTGGGGGTCCTGGAGGGCGGTGTCCTGGGGGTGAGATGCTCTGTGAGGAAGCAAGGCTCAGAGGAGAGGAGACTCCGGAGCCTGCCCTGGGTGTGAGGTTTCCAGCTTTTCTCCCCAGGACCCCTCTCTCCAGTCCCTTGATAGCAGTATTTGGGAAAATTGAAGCCTCATTTTTTCCTTCTAACCTGTAACTTTTTTGAGGGCTATTTTTTAGAATAGCATGTTTATAAATACTGTTAGATTTACAGAAGAGTTGCAATGGTAAAAGTAGTTTCTATATAGCCCACATCATTTCCAAGCTGCTAACATCTCAGATGACTACAGTCATTTGTACAGTTAAGGAAGCAATACTGATGCACTTATGCTAAACTCCGCACTTTATTTGGGTTTCATTAATTCTTTCTAATATCCTCGTTATGTTCCGACATCCCACCCAGGACACCACAGGAAGCCCCGACCATGTGTGCCTAAGGCGCCTCTGGCTGACGGTTTCTCAGACTTTCCTGCTTTGATGGCACTGAGCTGCTCAGGAATAATGGCCTCGGTTTGAGGTCTTCTGTGATGGATGATGGGTTTGGGGGGAAAAAAGACCACAGCGGTTAAGTGCTGTTCTCCCTTCACACATCAACTGTACAAATACCCACTTCTACTTTTCATTTATTTAGTTGCTGTTGCCTTTGGAAGGAAGGCACTATGGGCAGCTCACACTTAACGTGTGTTCTGCTATAAGCATTTACTTCCATGCAGGCTTTTTTGTTTTTTTACAAATCTAAGTTTTCAAATTAGTTGGGTAAATAGGACAGTGATCACCAGGTTGTATGCTCAGTCTGTGTTTGGTTTTTAAAGAAACTGTCAAAGGCCACCCTGGTGGCGCAGGGGTTAAAGTCTTAGTACTGTCGCCAGTCACTGTGGCCCAAGTTAGATCCCTGGCCAGGGAACTAACTCACAGATAGCCTGGCAGACCACTCCTGTGTTGCCCCCTGCTCCCCTCATCAGTGTATTTCAGTAGATCTGCCTGTTCTGCTCCCCACTCTGTCTCTGGTGAATCCCTACACACACACACACACACACACACACACACACACGCACGTGCACGCGCACGCGCACACACACACACACCCCACTCCTGTGTTGCCCACTGCTCCCCTCATCAGTGTATTTCAGTAGATCCACCTGTTCTGCTCCCCACTCTGTGTCTGGTGAATCCTTCACACCCACACCCACACCACACACCCCCCCCAACATACTTGCAGTTCTTGTATGCATAAATCTTAAAAAAACATTAAGGGCCTCCCCGGTGGCGCAGCGGTTGAGCGCTGGGTTGCGAAGGTGCCCGCGGCCTCTGCGGCGCCGGTTCGATCCCCGCCTGCTCCCCGGCCACTGGAGGAGGGTCCCACATGGCGCGCAGACCTCTCCTGCCGCCCGCTGCTCCCCTCAGCAGTGTACTTCGGTCCTTCTGCCTGCTCAGCTCCCCGCTCTGGCTCTGGTGAATTCTCTCACCCTCCCGCGCTTCTGACTGTACCCAGTGCATGTATAAACAAGCAAACAAACAAACAAATAAATAAATGCCTCTATTAAAAAAAAACAAACATTAAACTGTCCAATATCTCCCCTAGTGACACTGCCATTTTTTGAAATTTATTTTTTCAGCAGGAATATAAGGTACCCCCATCAGGTGTTACCACCATGCTGCATCCACCAACTCACCCACATTCTACCACCACAGACCATTGTGCTTCTTTCCCTCTTTCTCTTCCTGCCCCAGCCTCTCCCCGCCTGTTGTGTCAGTTCTGTAGTCAGCTCTCAAGGGTTAGTTTTTCAGCTTATATTTATCTATTAGCTACTTTATATTCCACATATTAGTGACACCATTCTGCATTTATGTCTGACTGTGCCATCTCATATCGTACCAGCAGTGAATGAGGGGTCCTGTTGCTGAGTCAGCACTTGGTATTACCCTCTTTTTTTATTTTTGCCTTCTGTTAAGTGCATAATGGTATATCAGAGCACTTTTTAATGTCTTTTCCTAATAATGGGAAATCATTGAATGAGAATCATTCATATAGTTATTTGGCACCTATATCTCTTCGTGGGTGAAGTCTTTTGTTCATTTTTAAATCGGCTTATTTCTTATTGTTGAGTTGTAAGCGTTCATTTATAAATTCTAGATACAAGTCCTTTATCAGATACATGATTTGATTTTCAAATCTTTTCTCCCACTCTGTCTTAAATTCTGTATTTATGACAGTAGACACTAATGACTACATACAAGCAAATGACCTGGCTCACAGGAGAGTAAGAGGGTGATGGGGGGGGTGGATGTTTATCTATGTAAAATTTTCTTGTGTGTGTGGGTATACAGGGCTCCTTTCAAGTTAGACAAGGGCAGAACACTTGATTGCACTAGGACAAAAGATACACATCTGAGGTATGACCAGGAGAGCCTTGTTAATAAGATTGGAGCCATGGGTGGGAGTCAGGTGTGTATCATTGGACTCCCCCTCCCTAAAGCCCAAAATCCAGTGTTCAGTTTGACCCACCCTTCTCTGTCAATGAAAAGACCAGGACCTTGCTCTTGAGCAGCATCCTGCATCCTATAGCCTGTTCCACCACTCCTGTTTCATCATTGTGATATTGTTGATGCAACATTTGTGCATGAAATAATACTTTCAAAACTAGATCCTACTAAAATTAGATAAAGATTTCTTAGAGACTATACCAAAAGCATGACCTGCAAATGAAGAAATGAACTGACACTTCATCAAAGAAACTATATGAATTGTAACTTAGCACACAACACAGAACAACAAAAAACAAAAAGGAAACGGACAATACCAAGTGCTGGCCCAGATGCTAAGCCACTAGAACTGCCACACTCTGCTGAAAGGAATCCAAAGGTCACAGACACTTCAGAGCAGTGGAGCAGTTTCTTACAAAGTAAACATACACTTACCATGTAGCCTGGCAAGCCCACGGCTAGGTATTTCTCCAGAGAACTAAAAACTTGTATTTATCCCAAAAGTTGTAAACAATGACTTTATTCATCACAGCCCCAAACTGGAAACCACCCAAACATTCCCCCAGCAATGAGCACTGCGGTGGAGCCAGCAGTGGACACCCCCCAGCAATGACAGGAGTGAATATGCATGCATGCAACACGAAGGGCCTCAGTTACATGATGCTAAGTGACACTCCTGGGGGAGTCTCAAAAAATTTTTCCTGATAAGTGAATGGCATAAATAAGCAAAACACAACATGAAAACAAGATTATTCTACGAAATACAGTCAGTTTTAATGAGTGACTCACCTTTGTTAGTCAGTAGATAGGGCCAGTGACTGTAACTCCAAATAACAGACTTAAACAAGCAGGACACCTACTGCTCTGACACGTGATGGCCTCTTGTAGGTGATCCGGGACTGAAGTGCTTCCAGCAACGTGGGCCCTCCAGTGTCCTATGCTGGAATCGCTCCGGCAGTGCTTCCTAAACTTTGCTACACATTAGAATCACTTGGAGATTTTTTCAAACACTGATATCTATACCTGCTACTCTCATAATTCTTAGTGGGCCTACCATGTAACCTAGGCACCAGGATTTTTTAAAGTTCCCTAGGTCATTCTAATGTGCAGCAAAGTTTGGGAATTACTGCCCTAAGGAACTGCTGATAGCCCCATGGTCCAAGATGACTTAACAAAACACATGCGTTCCAAACGGGGGGACAGAGGATGGGGGTATGATTATAAGCTACACACATAATTTCTGCTCACATCTCATTGACCCAATAACATAGTCCTATCAGGTTGCAGGAATGCTAAAAAAGATAATCTATTTCAGCCAGTCATGTGCCCAGCTACAAATATTTTCTTAAAGGAGAACAGAGCCTCCCTGATGGCTCAAGGGGTTAAGCAAAGCATTATGAAGCAATCCGAAGCCTCTACAGTATGAATTTGATCCCCGGCCGGCCAGGCAGCTACCCACATGGTACGACAGACCTCTCCTGACTCACCTGCTGCTCTCCTCAGCAGTGTATTTCGTCAGTCTGCCTGTTCTGTTTCCCACTCTGTCTCTGGTGAATCCTGCACCTCTGGCCTGTACCCCAGCTCTTGTATGCATAAATCTTTTTAAAAATAATTTTTAAAAAATTAAAAAATTAAAATTAAATTAAAAATCTTAAAAAAAAAGAGAGAGATAACCAGCAAACTCTCCCACCAAACAGCAGCAGTCCAATCTGGCAGAAGTGAAAGTGCCAATCCAGAACTTGAAAGCGAAACTCCCAAGAGGCCATCTGACTTGCTAGTATCTTCCATCACCAAATAGATGAAGTTGGAGATTGCAGTGAATCATATGCCAGAGGGAGGCCGACATATGTTTGAGGAAGTATGTATCAGAATGTCTGCCCCAGAAAATTGCTGGATTTTCCACCTGAGTAATATGTTAGAGCAGTATATGTTCAAATGCCCAAAGGCAGGCAGCAACATCACAAATCCAAGTACACCATCCATTGACTAAATCCAGTGAAGCATTCTCAGCACAATAAGGAAAAACTCCAAAGAGAGGGGGCTTCCTCTAAAATCCTCCAAATATTTCACCTTGTGCCTGGACATACCTTGTTAAACTCTGGGTTGTCGGAAGTCATGACATATTTTTTCTGCTTTTCAAATGTCATTTGTTTATATTAAGAACAAAGATCAGGGGCCTCCCTGGTGGTACAAGGATTGAAGTCTCAGCACTATGAAGCTATCAGCAGCCACTGCAGCATGAGTTTGATCGCTGCCCAGGGAGCTAATCCACATGACACAGCAGACCTCTCCTGTCTCGCCTGGTACTCCCCTAGCAGTGTATTTCAGTTGATCTGCCTGTTCTGCTCCCCACTGTCTCTGGTGAATGCTCTCACCTCCCCCACCCGCCACCCCTCTGGCCTGTACCCCAGCCCTTACATGCATAAATCTTTAGGGAAAAAAAAAGAACAAAGATCAATGATATATTGCCCACTTTGTTCAAAAACCTTTTGCCATCTTTCAGTGAGCTTCAAAATTCCTCGTTCATAGAAGGATCCATCTTTACTAGTGAAAAACTGAACAAGGTGCTGATTTACAGCCTCATCTGAATTGAATATTATACCACGCAAGTTTTGAAGAGAGTGAAACAAGTGGAAGTGTGAAGGCGCAAGTTTAGGCGGGTATGGTGGATGCCGCAACACATCCCATCCAAGCTCCAGTAATTTCTGATGGGTGATCAAACTTGTGTGTGGTCTCACATTGTGATGGAACACTACTCCTTTACCATTAACAAGCTCTGGAAGTTTCTGGATGATGGATTCATTCAAGCCATCCAATTGCCGACACTACACATTCGAATTGATTGTTTATTTCCTTGGCAGGAACTCAAAAAAACATGACACATTTAAAATCCCACCACACTGAGAGCATAGTCTTCCTCTGACGAATGACTGCTTTTGATGTCATTTGAGGTGAACTATCAAGTTGGGACCAAGACTGTGCACCTCATTATACACAATCCACTTCTCATCACCAGTTTTCAGTTGCTTCAAAAAGGATTGTTTTCTTCACGTTTAATGAGCTACTGCAGCTGTTTATATGTGCCATCAAATGAACTTCTTTAAGTTCGTGAGGAACCCAAAAATCAAGCCTGCATCTATATCCCAGCTTTTCCAGGTGGTCGTGAACACTTGAATGATGGATGTTCAATGTTTCTGCAATCTCTCAATTCGATCGATGCCTTTATTTTGTCGTCATCAACCTCTCTGACCAAGGAGCGTTGTTGAGATCAAAATCACCAGCATGGAATCTCATGAACCATCGCTAGCACTGACGCTGTTGTAGAGCACTGTACCAGTAAACTTTTTTTTTAAAGATTTATTTATTTATTTATACAAGAACCGGGGTACAGGTCAGATGTGCAGGAGGGTGAGAGGATTCACCAGAGACAGCGGGGAACAGAACAGGCAGACTGACAAAAAATACACTGTTGAGGGGAGCAGCGGGCGTGACAGGAGAGGTCTGCCACGCCATGTGGGACACTTGCCTGCCGGCTGGGATGGAACCAGCGCTATAGAGGCTGCGGACAGCTTTATAGGCTGTACTCAACCGCCTGCACCACCAGGGGAGGCCCTGTACCCATAAATTTATGCAACTTTTCACAAGCTTGATGTGTGTTCTTCCCGTTATGGAAGTAAAACAGTAAAACATGGTGAAAATGCAGAGTTTGGTCTTCCATCAACTTGTTGTAAAATCTCCAAAACTAACCAAATCGCTCAATTTATTTTAGAATGAAGCTAGAACTGCCAACTGTCAAGTGACTAGCAATAACGTAGATGTAAATGACCCTAGTACTTCCGAACATGCCATCTGTTGCAAAAATGCGTCATGACTTTTCCAACAACCCAATAATTGCAGAGGCTCTTTGATCCAGATTAGTTTGGTTCTGCCTTTGCCTTCAAACTTTTTTCCAGCAGATATGCAGACACTATCAAATTGCAATTTTGTCATGGCTTCTTGGATGTTGCAGTTAGTCTGAATAAAATAAAAAGCAAATATATGAAGTGACAGTATAATTCAACTTTCACATTATAATAATACCTAGCATTAACCTAGCTATTCCTTTACAGAAAATAATCCTTATGACACTCTAGTATTACATACTGTTTACAGCTGAAAAATACTGAGGTTTAGAAAAAATTACGTAGTTTCTTTAAAAATCTCACAAATAGTAAATGGTAGGAGTTCTGGATTTGAATATCTAGCTTTAGCTTCATATCTCTTATACTTCTCATTATACCATTGGAACAGCCCATATATCAATATATAGCTGTTGTGCTCTGCAGGATTTTTATGTCTAAGCTAGTTTCTGCTTCTATTCCACTTCCACCTTCCCAGTCACCCTGCTTCTTCCATAAGACACAGCCCTTGCCTGTCTGCTGGCCCCAACCCCATGCCCACATTACATAATGGAAGAGCAGAGGGGCCCTGCTGGCCCCCTTTTAACATCACCCTGGAGCCTAGGCCCATCCAGCCGCCCCTGTCACAGCCATACCAAGCCCTAGCTACTGCTGAGCGAATCTCACGTTTGGGGTCTCTGAATTTCTCATCTATAATTTTACTTATTAGTCTAATTCAGGCATTTCTTCTTTTCACACTGAGCTTCTGTTTCCTCACTGACATCTTTACATCCGATATCCATTTGGATAGCCATTACTAAATAAAACATACAAAATTGTACTTTTCACCATCTCACTCCCTATCCAAAAATCACCAGAAGACCCCTATTACCAATTCACATAGAAAATTTCAATGTTACTATGAGGAAACCACTCAGTATTTCCTTTGACACTGTTAAGCAGCATTGAGTTTGCTTGTATTAAAGGCCAGGTTGTGAAACAGTAAAGCCTAGTTCTAAGGCAACCAGCTGTCAGTAGCAGTGATGGAAAAAGGGAAGATTAAAAAAATCTTCTAAGAAACTTTTATTAAATATGTTTATTTGAATAAAATATAGGAAAGTACAAAAATCATAATAAATGCCCACAAAGCAAAACTGCACACATTTGTGCTACTACCGCTTAGATTAATAGAAGTGTAGGAAGAAGCAGTACCTGACCAGCATAATGCTGATAACAAAACCAAAGACAGCACAAAAAATGAAAACTGCAAGCCAATTTCTCTGATGAACAAAGTCAAGAATCCTCAGCAAAATATTAGCAAACCGAATTCAACAATACATTAAAAAAATACACCATGACCAAGTTGGATTTATTCCAGGGATGCAGGGATGTTTATCATACACAAATTCATCAATGTGGTTCAGTAAATCAACAAATTGAAAAATAAAAATTATATGATCATGTCAAAAGTGCAGAAAATGCATGTGATAAAATTCAGCCTGCATTTATGATAAAAACTCAATAAAATGGCACAGAAGGAACATACGTAAAGATAACAAAGGGCATACACAACATAGCCATAGGTAACATATCTCATTTGGGAAAAGTTGAGGGTTTTCCTCTAAGATCAGGAATAAGACGGAGATGTTCAACTCACCGTTATTTAACATAATTTCACACGTCCTGGTCAGAGCAATTTGGCAAGAAAAATAAAAGATATCCAGATTGGAAAAGAAGTACAACTTGGCCCTATATACTGACTTATAAACAGATGAAATGGTATTATACGTAGAAATCTCTAAAAACTCCAACAGCAACAAACTGTTAGAAACAATAAAGTTGCAGGCCATAACATACAAAAATCTATTGTGTTTATGTACAACATGAACTACCAGAAAGAGCAATAAGGAAAACAATACCATTCACAAGTGCAGCAAAAAGTGTAAAATTCATAGGAATAAATTTAACCAAGGAAGGAAAGGAATTGTACACTGAAAAGTATAAAACACTGTTGAAGGAAATTAGAGAACACACAAAGAAATGGAAAGACATGCTGCACTCTTGAATCAGAAGAAATCAATGTCAAAATGGCCACTGTACTTAAAGTAATATAGAGATTTAACTTAACGCCTACTAAGACCCTCTCGGCCTTCTTCCTCAGAAGCATATTTTTAAAATCCTAAAATTTCGGGCCTCCCCGGTGGCACAGCAGTTGAGCGCTGGGTTGCGAAGCTCCCCGCGGCCTCTGCGGCGCCGGTTCAATCCCCGCCTGCTCCCCAGCCACCGGAGGAGGGTCCCACATGGCGCGCAGACCTCTCCTGCCACTCGCTGCTCCCCTCAGCAGTGTACTTCGGTCCTTCTGCCTGCTCTGCTCCCCGCTCTGGCTCTGGTGAGTTCTCTCACCCTCCCGCGCTTCTTCTCCCAGTGCTAGTATAAAATAAAAAAAAAATCTTAAAAAAAAAAAATCCTGAAATTTATATGAACACAAATAGCCAAAATAAACTTGAGTAAAAAAAGGACAAAAATGGAGGTGTCAAGTTGACGGATTTCAAACTAGAGAGCTACAGTAATCAAAACATTATTTTACTGGACCAAAATCAGGCACACAGATGAATGGAACAGAATCAAGATTCCAGAAATAAAACCATACAAACATAGGTAACAAATTTATGACAAAGGCATTAAAAGCATAAAATAGAGGGAGAAAAAAATCTCTTCAATAAATAGTGCCAGAAAAAAAAAAATAGCCACATGTAAGAATGAAACTAGATCACTATCACACACTAAAATCAACTCAAAATGGATTAAGACTCAAATCATGAAATATACAGAAGAAAACATAGATTAAAAGCTCTTTAACAGTCTTAGTGATGTTTTTCGTGGATGTCTCCACAAAATGAACAGGCAAATAAGGGAGATGATATCTGCAAACCATGAACGGAAGGGAGAAGATATCTACAAACCATGTGTCAGACAAGGGGTTAATATATAAACAACTTATACAACTCAACAACATAAACATACAACCAGATTAAAAATGGGCAGAGGATCTAAGTAGGCATCTCACCAATGAAGACATACAGATGGCCAACAGATACACAAAACAAGTTCCACATCAGGGAAATGCAAACCAAAACCACAATGAGATTTCTCTTAACACAGCTACAATGACTATTATCAAGAAGTCAAGAAATAGGGCTTCCCTGGCGGTGCAAGTGGTTAAGATGCAATCTATGACACTATCTCAGCCACTGCAGCACAAGTTCGATCCCCGGCCAGGGAGCTACCCACATGGCGCGGCAGACCTCTCCTGACTTGCCCGCCGTTCTCTTCAGTAGTGTATTTCAGTCAAATCCACCTGTTCTGCTCCCCACTCTGTCTCTGGTGAATCCTCTCACCCCCCACACCTCTGGCCTATGCCCCAATGCTTGTAGTCATAATAAAAAATAAATCTTAAAAAAGTCAATAAATGTTGGTGAGAAAAAGGACTGCTGAGTCACTGTTGGTTGGGGATATAAATTGGTGTAATTACTATGGAAAACAGCATAGAGGTTCCTCAAAAAAAAAATAGAAATACCATAAGAATCAGTAATCCCTCTTCTGGGTATTCACCTGAAGAATATGAAAACACTAACTCAAAAAGACATGTGCTCACTGTAGCACTATTCACAATAGCCAATATATGGAACAAACCAAGCACCCAATGACAGATGAATGAATAAAATGGTGTGTATACACACACACACAATGGAATACTTAATTTTTTTAAAAAAATGAAATCTTGGTTGTGAAAACATGAATGGACCTTAGATTTTTAATAATCAGCAGAAAAAAGACAAATACCATATGATTTCACTCATTTGTGGAATATAGAAACAAAAAACAGATCCTGAGTCTGTCAGCAAATGGTTACCAGATGGGAAGGAGATGGGAGGAATGGTAGACAGGATCAACTGGTTGGTGGTAGGTGGTGACTGGACACTTGGCGTTAGACTTAGTAGTAGATGTATCATGGAGCCTGCAGAATGTTGCAGACTAATATTACCACAAACTTAAAAGGAAAAAGTGGCTAAGGAACTTCTGGTCACAAGAGGACAGTCACAACATGTTCCCTTTCTTTTGCTCTCCTTTGTACCACAGAGTACAAGTAGACTTGGAATGCAAGACAGATTTCCTTTGGAGAAGTTAAAAGCAAGCAGCTAGAAGTCTTGCTTACAGAAAGGTCAAAACTGAATGAGCAGACATCTGATTCCAAAGTGCACTATACTCACA